ATATATATACATATACACATATATATATACATATACACATACATATATACATATACACATACATATATACATATACACATACATATATACATATACATATACATATACACATACATATATACATATACATATACATATACACATATACATATACATATATATACATACATATATATACATATATATATATACGTATATATATAGACTAGACTTCAAATGTCACTGCGGGGAAACAGTCAAAGATGTATTCATTAAAGTAATATCAACTAAATGAGCTTAATCTGAGAGCTCCCAGCTTGGGTTACAGGTCAAGGTGTAAAGAGTGACGTGGCGAGGTGCTGCTGCTGCTGCGCCACAGCACATGTCAACATGCGAGACTGATTATGAGACCGAGAGCGGAAGAGAGAACAGTTTGTGCTTCTTTCCTGCCAAGACACATTCTGTTCTTTCTTGCTCCCTTTTACCTGTGCACGCATTTGAATTGTTCAGCTTCTCTCTCTTTCCTTGCCTCTGGCTCCGGCAGGACAGGGAAGTGAGCGGTGGGCAGACAGAGGGTCTGCATATGCTGTGTTTGAGGAGGAGGAGTCTGTCTCAAAACAATAATGAAGTCAAATGCTTTTTTTAAACAAAGACACCAACTAATAATATTGTGCAGTGGAGTCTTATGTGCTACTCCTTCATATGAATTGAACTGGTCCAACTGTGATGGAATTCATTTATTCTCAAGTAGCACTGGTGCTCCTGGTTAATATTTAGATCAGATTTAGCCACAGTGTCTTCAGAAATAGTCACATAATTAGACTTATTGGTCACAGTCTGGAGTCCTGTGTGTGTGTTTTTGTGTTTATGCAGTATAATCCTGCTAATATTATAGCAGACTGTATCTGAACCCATCCGTGCAGAAAAGGTTCACACCCTGCAGCCCGCTCTGAGAGCAAGTGACTCAGAATCTGAGCAGTATGAGTGCAAAACACTTTTGCTGCTCTGGCATTTCCTCCCATCACGTTACACTTCTCCGATGAGTTAGCAGAGAAGCACTCTTTGGTGAAAATCAACCTGTCAACAGTGTGAGCGTGTGCATAGGAAATAATAGTGGAAGCTGTTTTTTTAAATAAAAGAACAATTTCAGATTGCCAGAACAACCCGTTTCTTTATAGAAGTAAGACTTTATAAATATAAATGGTGTACTTACCCATGCCCGAGTCCTTCTTGGTGCCATCAGATATGATCTCCACGTGGTCTCCGTCCACATCGTAGCTGAAGAAATCATTGAGGTACGTCTTTGACCTCTGACCTCCAAACACGTACAGGCAGCGGTTTCTCTATAGGAAACAGAAGAGACAAAAACGGAGAATTAGCATCCACGTTAACTGTGTCTTATTTGATTTGAGCTGGCTGGATTTGTCCAACAGCAATAGAAATAAACCCAAAATGTGAACTCTGGACTCACGGTGTGGAAGAGCATGCAGTGCCCGATGCGGGACTGGACGTCCTCTGGCCCCGCGTTGCACGAGTCTTCCCGCAGGAGGCTCCATGTTCCGGCCTGACAGTGGTAGGCGTACAGGCCGCTGAACTGCGGCTCCGACATCCGACTGTCCTCCACGCTGCCGTTACACGTCAGGATGCGACCGCCAAACGTGTAGATCATGTGCTTCTCCGAGTCCATGCACATCTGCAGGGAGAGCGGGGGACAGGAGACGGAGGAAACAGGAAGTGTGAGAGTTAAGCATCGACTTTATCCAGTTAATTAATGAATGCTTGGCGCTTTTTACAAAAGTCCGTCTTGAAGAAAACAATCCGAGATTCCACTGAAATCTGTTTTGAAACAAAAACGGCTTCAGTTTTTTGCAAAAGAAAGGCTGCATTTCTAGAAACCTTTCAAGACTTTGCAACACCTGGAGCTAGAAGATTACAATGAGATCTTGGCTGGGTAATGTATGACACTTTTAAAGTCTATTTTCCTCTGTTTGACATGTTACTACAGTGACAACAATGACCTTCAATCGATACTGCGCCTGAATGCAACTTGTTGTACAGCTCGTTCTCTGTCACTAACTACAATATATAACTGTTACAATCATGAACTGCATGGTGGGTACAGCTCGCTCTCTATCACTCACTACAATAACTGTTACATAATTGCTTTATTCTAAGAGGTGTTTCTAATATTTTGTCCACCCCATTCATATCATTGAGGGTTGACTAAATGAGGGTTGCCTTCACTAGCTAAATACAAATGTAAGCTTTGAATGGGATTGGATGTGTAAATGAAATATAAGAGGTCAGGGACGTGCAAGCAGAGACGGATTCCAGCTACCTGGTGGTCAAACACTAGCTTTGGTCCGCCGTCCGCGGACGTGTCCTCGCTGAGTAGCGTCCAGGTGTTGGCGTCGATGTCGTAGCGGTAGAAGTCGCTCTTCAGGGACTTGCTGTTCCTGACGCTGGAGTCCAGGTACCGGCCCAGCGTGTAGATCTGACGCCGCTGGGAGTCGATGCACATCTTGTGGCACGAGCGGGCACTGGGACCGCTCTGAGTGGTACACAGGGGACAGACATAGCTCATAGTGTCTCTTGTCAATAACCATCAGAGTTCTTTTTGACAAAATGTTTTATGACCCCACTCACCTCTTTCTCCGTGTCTCTGGAGATGCAGGACCACTGGTTCTCCTGAACACTGTAAGCCCAGAAGTCAGCCAGGTCCTGTGTGCCGTCCCAGCCCCCAAACAGGTAGACTGTCTCTGCAGGGAACAAGCGAGCGGACAAACTTTAAACCTCCTCTCAGGGATTTGCGTTCTGCTTTGGAAAGCACTGCCTGCAGCCGACTGAACTCCAGCGCACTGCCATGCCTTCACTCAGTGGAAACCGTCACACAGTTATTGTGAACAATCAGATTAAGGTTATGCTTTCCTAGAGTATTTAAAGCTCCCAAGGTCAGCTGGGTTGACATGGAGTCAGTTTTTACAGACAAATTTGTAAATTGCATATTTATACCTGATATTTCCTGATAACTGAGAAAAAATGTGTTTAATTATTCTTGCATACACAATACAGCAAATCCTAATCAGGACTATTTGGGTCAAATTTTAAATCTTGCTTATTTAACACCTTTACTCATTGACAGTACATTTTAAAAGTGTTTTTAAATTGGTGGGCCGAAAGCTTACTGCTGAAAAGGGAAGGGGTGCGCTAGATTTATCAACCAAGAGCATCACTGCAAACTGGAATGCGTCACAATGTTCATCTTATGACGATTATCTTGTTTCAATCACAATCTGGTCAATCGGCTCGGGGCATTCATTTTTTGGGATATCCAACTCTTTTCTGGTTCCGAATGTAACTTTCCCACCCATCATCATTTTTAAATATTCTAAAAACACATTTGGGAACTGCTTATAGTCAAGGATGCAGTGGTGTATGGACACATGTGATTTACTATGTGTCTCCTGTTGATAAGCTAGCTAGTCTCTGCTGTGGGTCAAACACAGGACACTGCGGCTCAGGCACATGGGAGTGTGTGTGTGAAGTTGTGATTGTATCTGAAACTTGTGTGGGAGGAAATGAGCTGCGCCATTGCTGCTACAACTCCAAAAACGAGCATGGGCCAGAAAATGAGTTGTGAAAGCCAAAAGGAACTAATAAAGATCAATAGAAGATTTTGGGATGAGAAAAAAAAAAGATTTTATGTGTGCTCTAGAGTTTGAAAAAGGACCTGCATCATATGACCAGATATGCATGGCTTAGATTACAAAGGCCAGAAACTCTATTATATTGTCTAACTGTGAATGTCGCAGCATTTCAGCATGAGATCATGATCTATAATTATTAACTCAATACGAGGACATTATTGTTGAGGCTTGAGATCAGGATCTTGAGTAAAAGTGACAGGACTTGTTTTTAACACAAAAGCTATGCGTTAATACAGCCACAGGTTTGTTAGCTAGCTCCATGACAATCAAAATGGAAGATAACCAGGATCAAAGCTCTATAAACAGGTTCTGCATATCAACGCAGAACCTGGATGCAATGGCACAATATTTTGTTATTGGAAGCACTCGGGTTTCCGTTGTAGTCCGAGTAGCATTGACAAAAATGTTCGAGCACGCTTTGGTTGAATAGATGTAAACAGTCCGTGTTGGAGAGCAAAGGAGGAGGAACGCATTGGCTGAAATGCAATCTGGGAACCCATGGGCCTGACGATGATTTAGCTTTGTATTCTCTTTTTAAAATGCATCAGCATTGAAACTCAAAATGGACTGTAATCGGACTGTAAACAATGACCGGCACATGGAAGAGGAGGTCTTGGTCTGGATTTAAGGAACGCCCAAAACATCAGCCATTGCCCCCAGAGGACAAATAGTCGTCAGACCGATAGCCGATGGGTTACGAGATTGCTCAGGATCTCTATGAGATTCAGAGCAGATGTGAAAAGGGTCGGGACAGGACTGGTGACACAGAAATCGAGACACAGACCAGAGGGATGCAAGGCCTTCTCTCAGCTCTGACACTAGCTGCAGACGGTGCATCACTGCCCCTCACACACACACACACACACACACACACACACACACACACACACACACACACACACACACACACACACACACACACACACACACACACACACACACACACACAATGCAGGCTTTTGATTTTCAGATGGCCGGCGGGGAAATTCGGCGACAGACAGAAAAAAAAAATAGCTGTGTCTGTCAAAACAAGTTGTGATTCATGTGCTCTTAGACGAGAAATGCCCTCAAGCCAGTTTTCTTTGGAGGAGAAAGGGCTGGAGGGGGAGGGGACAGGGAGGGAGGGTCCATTTCATTAAGCGGTAATGGAGTCTGAGTAGGAGGATATGAGTCATAACACTGGCTGCGTGGGTCTCACCGGTCTGGACGTCAATCACCATTTGATGTCCTCCCCTCATCCCGGGCCTGTTGTCGTCGCCGTCACCTGCGAAGAGGAGAGGGGGGAGGAGACAAAGGGTGGCGTGTGAGCGTGGGAGGTGAAAGATGACGCGGAGGAAAGTGAGAGAGGGGATTGTGGAGAATGGGACGATGGGAGGAGCAGAGGGAAGCAGAGGGAAGCAGGGCTTTAGCTACGAGGCCACTTTCACAGTGTGTCAAATGTTTGATCGACAAATGGGGGAATAAATCCCACTTGAAGAGATGGTCTCACTGTTCATGTCGTCTCGGTTGACTTCTTGGGCGCTTGTACCTTTGTTGCATTTCGGGATGATCTGACTCCACCGGGGCTTGTACTCCTGCTGGCTGATATACTGGTTAAACAAACCGTCTAGCGAGGAGAGAAGAGGATCGAATACGGCAAAGATCACCATCAACGCAAGCAGAAACCAGGCAGAAATGAAGAAGATTAAGGTACCACTGAAAACTCTAAATAAAGACCAAGTCGTCTTTACTCTAGATCCATCAGGCAGAGCATGATACCTCTCACAGCTTTGTCTATGAGCTCCTCGCAGGCGTCGAAGTCTCCTTGCAGCACCAGCCGGTCGTGCAGGTGGGTGAGCATCGGGTGCTCCAGTGCTATCCGGGTCTTCTTCTGCAGCGACTCAAAGGCCTCTGTGTAGTTATGCTGTCGGAAGTGCTTGAGGCAAAGGCGGATGGCTTCCTGTTCTCTGTACTGCGAGGGAACAATGGAGAGGAAAGAGATATAGGCAGAGATATAGAACAGCGATAGGCTGAAATCACTGCACAAGCACAACCCACAGCTGTTAGCCACAACGTGTCTGGAGCAGTTCACTCAAACAACAGTCCTATTTAAACTGAGGTGACATTTATTAACACTGAAAGCTTAGTTCAAAAAGCTTATTTATCCTTTAAGTTATCAGCTGTAATCGCCGTATGAGAGCAGTGAGGACTGGTGACGATAAGCTAGCTAGTGGAGCGCACTCACACATTGGGACTAACATGCATCAACATGCAAATGTGGCTGGACCGGCTACATAAATGAAGCACAGGCAATTTGGCAAGGGCCAAAAACCAAGATGGCTCTGGCCAAAATGCCGAACTCGAACTCTTCAAAAGTGTTTGTCGTCTAAAGGAACAATGGGTGACGTCACAGCCACAATGTCCACTTCTTATTTACAGTCTACTCCACTATATCTTTACATAGATAGACTACAGATGAAAAATAAGCCTATTGGCTAACTCTGGCACACTTACAGCAATGTTTGTATTAATGTGCACTGTCCCTTATCAAATAAACCAATAAATAAAATGTTTTGATCATTTAGTGCTCTGAATTTGGAATTTAGCCCCTGCTAACCTTAACCCTTGCTAATTGAAAAAGAACAATCAGTCAAAACAAACATATTTGGGCTATTGATAAAAAAGGTATTGTTCTTGCATCGGCATAAAAATATCAACACCTAGCCCCAGTAAAGCCACTTCCATTAGAGCCACGAGGCTTTTAGTGAGGTGTTGGCCTGAAATTTGATCCCACTCAAAACATTAAGTTTTATGGGCATAAGAAGATAAGACGTTTGCATTTATTTTGCCTGAAGTTAATAATTGCTTGGAAAGTGTTGCCCAATACAAACTGGGGTCAAACTGAGATTTGTAATGATGCAGTGATTCTGGTCTCAATAAATTACATGAAGGAGTTCAGACTTCGTTCATCTTGATCAGCTAAATTGAAAAGCGACTGCAATTGGGATCATGGGATGACAAGTTAAACTCTTCTATTAATGTGTTTCTGCTGTTGAGCAAATTCAATGTTTTCACACTGGTTTGATGAAAGAAACTGCAGGTCTCTGTGTTAAAGGGACACCTCAGAGTTACATGTTCTCCTGCCAGCTGATTAATCCATCCAACTACGGATTCAGGCCTGCTGGATCTGTTATCCACTCTTTCAGCCCAAGCCCAAGTCTCTATGCCACCGGGTACTTACCTTGCTGTACCAGTTAAGGCAAGGCTGCACCACATCGGGATCTTCGATACCGTGCAGCTCAATGTACCAGATGCTGAAATTAAAACTAGGACCCCAAGACATCAGAGGCACTGAGACACGGAGCAAGAGAAGATGGAGAGAGAGGAAAACCTTGTGTCAAAAGACAGACATGTTCGCCGTGTATCTTTTTTCCAACACAAACCAGCAATGGCGCCATCATGTAGTACCAGGGGCCTCACCAGACATGAGCTAAAAAAATGTTTTGAAATATACATTATAAATTATAATATTAGCACTACTGGAGTCATGAACAATATTGGGCGACAATTAATGTGGATGTTAACGATAACACTTAAAATTCAGTTTGCCCTGATGTCAACATATGCCAAAGAGGTGTAGTCTCACCCCACTATTAAACCTTACTATTCATACACAACCAGTCCGAGTGGGATCAGTTATTAGTGCAGAACTAAGTCACTAAAACAGCGACGGTGTCATGATCAGGGGGCATTTTCATTCTGCTTTCTCTCGTATCTATAACTCCATACGGGCAAACATACTTTCACATTTTGACCACCTCAAAGCTGGAAGACAATTCAGGAAAACAACTCAGACAAATAGGCTAAGAATAATATGATTGTAGCCTACTTAATTACACTTACAAGGAGAAAGCACCTCTGAAGGTAAGACAACAGCCGGTTTCAATAGTTTTAAAAACCGGTTCTTTGCTAGTTTTTAATTGAGACTGATTTTCTCATGTTGCAGCTGTTCACACAGGCCGTCTTGAGTCTGTCTAGACTTATTGCTGACGCATTGCGTTATATTGTTGAGTTTCAGACTTGATTAAGAGGGCACTACATTCACTTTTTGTCGCTGTCCATTGAGGGGGGGGGGTCTGAATTCATGTTGCCGTGGAGTATTGTGAAGGCCCTCCAAAAACGTCTGGAGCTCTGGGGCCCACAGTTATATCAAGGCTCTTCTGAAAACCACAGACACTCGACAAACCACAGCAGCTCCCACCTATTTTGACAAATCTGCAGGGAAACATCTGCTCATCGATCTTGTGCTTTAAGGTGAACGTTTCCTTGTTGTAGTCGTTCTTAAGGCCACTGGAAGAGAGAGAGAGAAAGAAAGAATGAAAGAAAGAGCAGAGATGACGCAGCGGTTTCACAAATCACATTAGTGGTTGAGATGCCAACTGTATCCATATGCCGGTACCGTTTGGATAGTCGTCTAAATCTGGCTATTAACCAAACTTTGTTTGGCAGCTATAATCTGTCCTCTTCTTCTTTAACAAACAGGCAGTCTGGTAATGGAGGGAAACTGGATTTAGTGAATCACCCATTAAGATAACTTTCCTGGGCTTATTGCATGTGTTTCACTTTCAATTTACTGTACGGTATTGAGGAAAAATGAACACAGTATCAATTAAAAAGCACAAGGAATTGTTTCTTCTACTTTCCCACAATACAGCTCGTCCAGCAGTTTGTGATCTTGTTATCACAAGAATTGAATTCAAAGTCAACCAATTCTGCCCAATTCCCATGACATTTTTAGGGATGCTCTGACCAAACTTTTTCCTCCAGATTGCGATACCTTAAGTCATGGTATCCCAATACAGAGTACGGATCCCCTGGCATTAAGTGATAATCACAGCCCATATTTAGCGGTATTGCTGTGTCACCAACAGCCCACCATGACTGAAGGAACGCAACCGATAGGGAAAACATTATAAAGTACTTTATTCAGTGGTGAAAGTAGATTTGCGTTCTTGTCGGTACTACTACCCCAACCTCCATGGCTTCATATAGAGCTCTCTGCGTTTAAACATGTTAGCAAAAACTTACATAACCAACTGTTGTTTAAGTTGACCTAAACATTAGCAGATGTGGTTTCTTGTTGACAGGTTGATGTGGGTTTGCTGTCCCCTCTTCCCAGTGCTGTGTTCAGACCAAACCGGTCAACTTTCACCACTAACTTTATAGCCAATGGGTCACAGGCTGTCTATCACCCCCAACAAGCTTCAAACAATCAAAAGTTCTCTCAAAAGATAAGAAAACAATGCTACAAATGGCATTGTAATTTGACAATGAAACTGCATCAAACTGCAATAATCACACAAAAAAATGAACTGGCTTAACATCTCACCTGGACAAAAGCTCTGTCATGTTTTCTTCACTCATCCCACCAAACACTTTAAACTTCTTGAGGTTGCACACGTGAGTCTTCTCATACTTCCCAAAGGTGATACTCTGAACAATTGCCGGCCTTTCCAATTTCAAGATTAAAAACTGAAGAGAGAAGAAGACAGGTGTCATGAAACAGACTGAAGGCAAAGAGCAGAGTTATGATTCCATCCGTGCGTGGAGGTCTGCGGGAAGCTGCCTGTACTTACGGCAGGCCGGCCGCCGTCAACTGATTTGCTTGTTATCTCATTATAATAGCCGCAGCGAGGTCGATCTACTGCGTCATGTAAGTGGAGTTACACACATTCTATGAGCCGCATCCACGAGTGACTGGTGCTCTAACAAGCCAGGACATCTACCGACAAATCACCAGCGGCCATTCGGCCAGAGTCAGTGGAGAGGCGGGAACATGGAGTCAATGTGCCGTTTAACAAACCCCAGGCACCAATGTTTTCACTCATACATTACATCAATCCATGTCCTCTTCACCAATATTCATCTGACTGGGATGCAACGTTAATAAACACAGTTTAAGTTACGCTGTTTAAATTACGATTTAAAGTGAACTTCACCCAACTCCCCTCTCCGAGTAAAGTTCACTGTCTTGTTTAGTGTGACATGCAATATCTATTTATATATATATATTTAATATAACTCAATGATGGTAGAGAACAGGTTACATTTTTCAAGAAGGGTATTTCTTTTGGTTTTTAAGTACTATTTGATTGCGCTCCAGATGTATTAAGCGACAAAAAAATTTAATTGCCACATACATATCAGCATGTACAAATATCTGAATGACTCAACATTGATAGTTATTCTGTAGCTTCACTCAACTAAGCATTTCAGTTCTCATACCAATGTTGCTTTTCAAAACGGATACTGGCAAACACCAACACACAAGACATGCACAGCAAATAGTTAAATAACTTGTAAATGAATTGTCTGACTGCTGCAAATATGACTAAATTTGAGTTTTCAGCAAATAATATGTTAAGATAAAAAATTACAATATAACATATTAAAAACTCTGCCTATAAAATCATACTGCATATTTGTTTTTTGCTTATGTCAATTGTTCTCAGTGCTACTATACTACCCAGCTGCTTTACTAGACATAAATATCGTGAGGATTTTGAGACTGGCGTGTTCAACCTGGTGAGTGGTTAACCATTGTTTTGAAATGTTTCATTTCCTCTTGGCATACAACACAGACTTTCAGATTTAACCTCAAAGTCAGCTCGTCAGTCAATGAGTTCAAGACACACGATGAGAAACAACTTTTCCCTGTTCACTCAGCTCCTATGTTCCCTCAGCTCCCATGTTCCCTCAGCCCCCATGTTCCCTCAGCCCCCATGTTCCCTCAGCCCCCATGTTTCCTCAGACTCCAAGTTCCCTCTGCCCCTATGTTCCCTCAGCACTAGGGCACCCTCTCTTAGTGGCCTGAGATATATTTTGTCAATTAATCACTTTTCGTGCTTTTATCATGCTGAATGACTTATTTCAAACAAACTTATGAGCTGATGATTTGAAGTTGTGCTTTTGTGTAATTATTTGTGGAGGAACAGATCTGTCGATTAAATCACCTGATTGATCAGTCGACAAAATCGTACGAGTGTTAGTCGATCATAAAATGTCTTTGGTCAAGGAAAGTCCTACTCAGTACCTGATGATTTTTTGTCCAAAAATAAATAAATTAGGACCTATGCTCCCTCAATCCCATCCTTGGCCCACATTGAAATCTGTCTAAAGCTTTTTGAGATATCGCGCTAACAACACCCATAACAGACAATCTGGCTAGTCCTTGTTGCCTGCGTTGGTTGGGCTGGTTAGGTTTAGGCATGAGGAGAGAGATTGGTAAAAGTAACGGTAAGAAAACCAGGGTAAGCCTATCAGAGGTAGAGTAGGGCGGGTCATGTCATGCCATGGTAAAAAAAAAAAACATCACCACATGGAAGGTCTGGTGACATCATTCTGCATAACAATAAGCCATGTGCTTCTGTTTATAGTGTTTGTTGAGCATTGGGACTTCAGAACAATAGGCGTCTGTTTTCGGGACAGGTGGGCTTTCGGTCGAATGGGACATTTTTTCCAACCAATGGGGTTTCAGGTCAATGGCATGGCACCGGCGGAGGTACTGATCATGCAGGAACACAGACACTCCCGAAGCAGAGAAAAGCCTCACTACCTGATGGGCAATTTCATTATTAAATCTTAGCCATGTTAATGAGCTGTTTATTATTTGATGATGAGTTTTCCACAAGCAAAGTGCCAGTAAATAAATAACCTACGACAGTAAATTGGTACGTGTTAATTATCTGAATCATTAACATAATTATAAAAATGGCATCACTCAAAACTGCTGCTCCTCTTACATCAAATGTCTGAGGTCAACTAGCCCAGACTTTTTTCTGTCAATCAAATGACAAAAGGTCAATGACCTGAGAGGCTAACAGAGCTTCTAAAGCAATGACAAAGATGTGGGAACTGGTTGTAATAGTGATAATATCACATACACCAACAGTATAAACAAAGGAACCACAAGCCCCTCTGAAATTCACAATTTGTTCTTAATGCACACTGACAATTCTGCCGTCATTCTCCATCTGGAGCAGTGAAGTCCAGGGAAGGGACAGTTTGAGCAAACAGCAGTGGGCCTACCTGTGGAGGGTAGTTGCTTTCAGAAGACCACCTGGAAGACTGATCATTAGGTTTGTCCACCAAGATATTCCTAAGAAACACCCACAAAGAAAGGTAGACTTTATTTATCCCCGTGGGACATCACAGCAGCAAAATACTGGAGACACAGCAGACAATGTTCCATCAAAGTTATGAGACAGGAATCACAATTCACTATGGGGGCAGAACCAACATGGGTGTGTGTGATTGAGTGTGTAGCTGTAACAGTAAAGGAACCATATAGCAATACTTATGCAGGCCAGCTAAATCAAATGAGTCCATTTTGTTAATACAGTTAAGTTCATATGAGCTAAGAGACAGTTGTTGTTAGCTAGCTACAGCTAACCTGTGTCTGTGCGAGTGTTGAACCAGCAACAGGCTCTGAAACTATGCGTGACTTCTCTTGTAAATTGTAACATTTCCAGTGTTTTTGTGTATGCCACCCGTAAACCGTTCGTGTCACGACACAAATAAGAAGTATCCGGCAGACGAGCTGATTAGCTATTGCTGCTAAAGCTGAGCTCTTTGGTTAGAGAACAGCAGCTAGTTACTTTAGCTCTGAAGTAGAGGGAGCTGACGGGGACGCTCGGTTTTTACATCGGGTGCCTGACCGCACATTGCTGCATAAAATTCAGAAAATGCGGTAGTGTTTTAATATTCTGAACTAGTGGCAGGTCAAAGTAATGAAGGCTGCTGATCCAAAACATGCTCTTCTCAAGAGAAGAAAATAGATAACTGGTGTAAACAAAGTGTGCCTTTAACAGAGGGGCACTGCACAACAGACTAATTGTTATCTGTTGAATGATCTAAATGACTCGTTACACGTTCCAGAGAGATATCTCATTGTCGTCTCCTCAGACATACAATCCTTCATATGGTACCATAAATGCTTGAAATGATCAACATCACCATGGGGCGACACCGTATAAACCCCAAACGCCCCTACCGCCACTAACAAAGCTAACGTTTGCTGGCTCGGATCACAGACGAGCTAGGCCAGTCGGGCCGGCTGGGAGAAACATTGTTGCATTGAAGCGATAAAAGTCCACTTGTGTCCACAAAACCTAATGCATACGCCAGGCCAGCTAACATGTGCGTTACTCACTCGGGTAAATATGTAGAGGAGTAAGAGCTCCATTTAAAAACGCTGAAAGTGAGGACTCTGCTCTCAGGAACGACAGCCATCTTGTTGCAGAAAATAACAAGCAGCGGGAGGCTAGCAAGGCGCGAGCAGTGACAGCCCTTAAAGAGACAGTACACCCTATTTTGTTTGATTTGTACAAGGAAGAACAGAGAATGCAATATAGTACAGTTAAGCCAGATTTCCCATATCCATGACAATATAACATCAGATGTTTACATTATCATATATATTTTTGATATTATAAACTGTAGTTTAAGAGGAGGTCAGTCCCCAAATTATATAATATTAAAACATAACTACTCGGGCTACATCAAAGTATAATTTGGCAATTTTGTGGCGCTTGCAGCTTTGAAAAAACATTGAAGTCACATTTGAAAAAATAAACAGTTAATGTATAGGACCATTCACAGAAATCACTATCACTTTGTGAACATATTGATAAAATGTCCACAGCAATAACTGTTAGAGACAGTTATCTGAAAAATAGACAATATATGTTGGGAAGTTCTTGAGTTTGAAGGAATAAAACTTGAATAAGTGAGTGTACTCTGTGTCTTTGAACAAACTGAATGTTTATCTAGTGAATGTACAAACTTAGATTATTAGATTTTTATATAGCCAGAGATATCTTGGTAACTACTATAAAGTGGATGCCATGCTCTTTTGTTGTATTTTTCGTGCACTGCTCCAATGACATTTGAATATCACCCCAGGGATTAATCAGGTGTCCTATCATGTCTTGTTAGGCCCCATCTTGCCTTGTTTTGTTGTGTCTTGTCCTGTCGTGTCCTATTGTATCCTATCCTTTCAAGCCCTGTCTCGTCTTGTCCTATCTTGCCCTGCTGTGTCCTGTCTTGTCATGTCATAAAGTTGATTAATATATGTTATGTACTAGCCATTGGCCTATAGATCTGTTTAACATTGCACTGGTTCCTTTCCGAAACAAAGACAGCACAACTGTCTTTTAAAAGCGCCTTTCTGGGTGATCTCAGTGTTTGTGCAGTCACTGATAGCTCACAGTGTGGATGAATCATCTGATGAGTAATGTGAACGCAGCTTCATTCCAGTTAACTGGGCCTCTTTTCCCGGCACTTCCTCTTCCCCCGTCCCCCACTCTGAATGAAGATCAACATTTGCAGTATATGAATGTAAAGAGTGTTTTTTTAATGTTACATTAAATCCCCACACGTTTTTTTTGTTATGAGATGTCATAAAGTCCAATACAGACTGTACATTGTATTGTTTACTTTTATAATTAGGAGCAAAAGTAAAAAAGGACCAAGCTTTCAAGGATCAATATTCAGATTTTTTTTGTAACCACTCTGCCTCATTATAGTCTCCTATTTTCTTATTTGCTTATTTATTTAAACTTTTAAATTAACTCACTATGTATAATGATGGTGTGGCAAGAGGCTAGAGGTAAAATAATAAATAGAGTAATGTAAAATAAAATGATTAACAATAATAGCCAGATAAGATCAGTACAATGTACAAATGTAAAATGTACACAGGAATTTGACTTTGGTGATAAAACCAGTAAATTAAAAGGTAAAGTTAAAAGATAAAGACATTTAAACAAAAGAATTATGGGCAGTTCAAAATGATAAAAATGCTCCATTATGCTACACATCCTTATTAAGTTAAGATTAATAAATATGCTCACAGACACCTGCTCCTGGCTTGTGAGCCACCTGTTGCTTCCTGTTGGTTAGAATCTCTGTGCGCCACACAGATAGGGCGGGTACCTGCAGCTCAAACAGCTTGATGTGCAGATGGTCAGGGAGGAGAGTAATTGATCAGTCAACAAAAACGAATCAGTTACTGTGATGATAATGAAACAGTCATTATCTGTTACAAAACATTTGCTGGCTTGTTATTCTTTAATTAATATATATATATTAATTAATTAATATATTAATATATAACTAACAACCCCGTCGGAAGACAAAATGTTGGCATTGTACATTTTTTGTAAACGGGATATGTTGAAGGGATACGTTTAATGTCAACATATAAACCGTGACAACGTAACATAACAACCGTTACAACATAACTACCATGTCAACATATAAACCGTGACAACGTAACATAACAACCGTTACAACATAACTACCATGACAACATATGAACCGTGACAATGTAACATAACAACCGTTACAACATAACTACCATGTCAACATATAAACCGTGACAACGTAACATAACCGTTACAACATAAGTACCATGTCAACATATAAACCGTGACAACGTAACATAACAACTGTTACAACATAACTACCATGTCAACATATAAACCGTGACAACGTAACATAACAACCGTTACAAAATAACTACCATGTCAACATATAAACCGTGACAACGTAACATAACAACCGTTACAACATAACTATTATGACAACATCAAAACCGTGACAGTGTATATCTAGCATAGATAAGTTATAACCACCCTTAGCAGACTTTCTTATGTAACCTAACAAGCGTAAAGTCAACTTTTACGTTTGGTTTCACACTGGACACAAACAGAGGTCTCCTTGGCATAAGTCCTGTGTTTGTTTGACCATCAACCCTTTTTAGACTATCACTTGTTACGTCACTTGCTCTGACTGAATGCAAAAATGTCCACATTCAACATATCCGTGGGTTACAGAAAGGTGCAGTGACAACATTTTGTCCTGGTGAATGGGCTGTAAATAAAGCTGAGAAAGAGAATTGATTATGTAGTTGACAAAAAAATAGATAAGCAATAACTTTTCTGTATAATATACAAGCATGCAATGGATTATACCTCCTCAAAGAGTCGGCAGCTCCTCAAAAGGAGCCACTTTTAGTTGGCAGTGTCACTTGGTCAGAGGAGCAGACAGCACAAAAAAAGAAGACGGGGGAAGTGGAGAGGTGTCTTTTGTTGGCAGAGTTGTAATCCGTACTAATTCAAACCACAGGGGGTCCACCAGCCCCTGAGACCTCCGGACCTCTGGTATGTTCACACGGTCCGGACTGCCAGCGAGACCCTCTGTGGAGAAAATCAAGTCAAATAGTGCTCACGACACAAGTGTTTATCAATTTCATTGAATACGTTATTTTCTACATCAATGTGTTTTTATCCTTGTCACAGCTTTGTATTAGAAGTGAGCTCTTATATGTTTGACATATGGGAAGTTATAATAAACCCACTTTCTCTTGCTTCAGGTGTTTTATAGAAGTTATTGTAAGAAAATAACAAGATGATTTGCATTGGAAGCAACAGGATTCAAGAAAAGAAACGAAAAATATGCCTTTGGGGATATTCAAAATACATGAAATGACTAGTTAAAATAGAAATTAGCGGTAAAGACACCCAGAGAGGGTGGAAAGTAGCAGCATGGTGCTTCCCAGCATGCTTAAGCCTTACTTTGGATTTTATATCATTGTAGCATTCTGGTAAAATTTTCTGATGAATCATCTGCAACTGGACCTCCTCCAGACTTGATGATGTGAATGAAGGTGTGGTGTTTCTTCTAAGTGCAGCGTCCAGCCCTGGGCAGAGTCTTTCTTCCACTTATTGCAAATTGCAGAGTGCTGGTGAAGTTTAGTTTAGTTGTTTAGTACTCTGGTACCAAAGTTTTTATTTAGTATCACTCCTGGCTGTTTTCCAAAGTAGTTCATTGTTTTTAAATCAATGAGCGACGTTTTAATGAGGCTGGGGATGTAATACGCACATCTTTTAGTCCTCATGACACATCTTCTGGAGAAGGTGTGCATGTAAACAAGAGCTAATGGTCAACAAGGAAAACTCATTTTTAGAACAAGTGTAATATATGATTACAAATTACATTTATATACGTCCTGACCTTTCTGTCTGTCTGTCTGTCTCTGACATGAGATCAGCTGTGTTTCCCCACAAAGTTAGTCACCCTATGATGATGTCACGTACAGAATGAGCTCACTTTGAAAGATATATAGCCAACAAAGAGGCATCATCAACACCATCTTCATCATCACATACACTGACTGTTATCTTCATCATCATCATCTTCATCATCACATTCACTGACAGTTATCAATATCATCCTCACTATCATCACAGACACTGACAATTATCTTCTTCATCATCAACATGATCATCATCATCATCATCATCATCATCACAGACAATAACAGTCACCTTCTTCATCATCATCTTCTTTATCATCACCACCACTATCACTATCATCATCATCACACCCAATATCTTCATCATCACAGTTATCTTCTAAATCTTCATCACCACTATTGGCATCATTATTACAGTTACTAATAACAGTCATCATCATCATAATCATTCCGGTATAAACACAGTGAAACCAGTCTGAGGGCCCGCTGGTTTACTTTTATTAAGAACGCAACATCTTATTTACCCGGGACGCGCACTGCCCGTCGTGAGCGCGCACGAAGCGCCATCACGTGGGAGGTCCCTTTAAGTTTCCACTGACAGAGGCCTGAGCGTGTCACATGAACATGATATAATGAAAAGGCAGGAACACAGAGGCGGAGTGCGCTGAGCTCTCAGACGATGGAGAAGGGGCCCAAATGTGCGCAGCCGTCTGCCGACAACCAGCAGCCCCTTGCGGGAAGAGAAACAGCGGGGCCGGGCCGAGCCGAGCCGAGCCGAGCCCAGCCGATCCTGGCCGGGGCGGACCGAGCACCTCATCGGACGGGACCTCACTATTTGCAGCTGCACCTGCCAGCTATGACACGCACTTTAAAAGAGGAGGAAAATGTCGCCTGTCAGTGCGCGTGTTTCTCCCTGGTCTCGGAGCAGAAGAGGAGCGCCTTTTCAGCGTGAGTGAAGTTATTTCTAATAGCTCGGGCTGATGTGGGATCGGCTCCACGTTGCTGCCGCAAGTGCGTTTGCGCGCTAGCGTTGCGCGAACGGTCGGTCTGCTATATACCGGTGTGAGGACCCACGCATCTCCCGCAGCGTTTGGGAAAAAAAGTGTGTTTTGTTGGAGAGGAAAGCGCAATATTCTCGCAGGGGAGATTACTCTCGATCATGTGCCATGTGCGTTCTGTCTCGCACCGTGTATGCGCCAGTGTCCGCATTCC